CAAAAGAATAATGACCCATGGGAGGTGAGTGAACCTAATTGTTAGAAGAAAAGAGTTACTCAAAATCTATGTGTGAGCACAAAAGAATTGAGAGAGAACCTTCTTTACAAACAGCCTTCCATCCTTGTTCGCTTTAGAGAATCAATTGTTTCGATTTCTAACATTAACAAGGATTTGCCTAGTGTGTTTTCATCTTTGTTACAGGATTTTCAAGAAGAATTAGGTGATCCACCTGACGGATTATCACTGGAAAAAGGAAAACAACACCAAACCAATCTAATTCAAGGTTCCATCATACCTCGTCAAACATACAATCTCGAAGAAACCAAAGAGTTAAATTTGTTAGAAAAAGGCTACATCCATGAAAGCCTTAGTCGTAACGTCATCTTAATGACGAAACATGACTTGAACAACTCCACATGCTTTATAGTTCATGCACAGGGAATCCATGTAAATGATGAGAAAGTAAAAGCAACATGAGACTGGCCCACACCATCTTCTATCGCCAAGAGTTGTCGAATAGTGCTAGGTGACCCTCCTGACGGGTTACCACCTGAAAGCCCTAATCACTATGCTATATCAATGAAGAGTCATGATTTACGAGAGTCCAAAGGTAAGGCTCGTAAAGTTGTCATCCATACTAAACACAACTCCTTTAAGTGCGTAACATATAGAGGTAAGCAAAACACAGTAGACGATACACTACCACAAAGGTATACTCTTACCTATCAAACTCATACTACTATTCCGAGAACTGAACATATCAAAGATTTATATCACGATAACTTGGATATTTTTGATATTTCTACCCATACTTTTAAATGTGCTTTTAATGAGCTTTATCTTGTATATGAGTTTCCTTGCCAACTAAACAGGTTCTACAGTCCACAAAGCTCCTCCCGGGAATCATTAATTCATGAACCCCACTTAGGAGACTTAAGGGATTACTTTAACAAACCAGTTGACATGGTTTTTAAACACAAGTTTTTCTTTAAACACATCTAAATCTCTTTCTCTTGGATTTTCAGATTCGAGGACGAATCCTTTTGAGGAGTGGGGGAATGATACATGCACCAGAGTCCATAATACATGCTTCTTTGGACTAATGTTTCTACTTGAACCTATTAGAAGAATAAAGTTCTTAAGATTCAAAGCATATCTATTCGGTAAGTATAATGTGAATGAATCATTAAACGATTCTAATATTGCTCCCTTTAATGTTTCAGATTCGAGGTCGAATCTTTTTGAAGAAAGGGAGGATGATACATGCATCACAAGGCTCACATCAAAGGAAGAAGTAATAACTCTTCCAAATGATCCACTCGTTCAAGCATTGGAAAAGAAGATCAGAACAGAAGCAGACTTACGACGACTTTTTGAATGTGATCATGATCTTATTTAGTTAAGATGTCTTCTGTAGATACGACCGTCTGTCTCTTATCTTTCTAACGGTTCTTGAATCGCATCAATCCGATATCGGGAACTCAAGATATGACTATTTTACTGAATACGGTGCATGCAGAAAATCCTATGCGGGATTAATACGGAATATTGTAAATATTACGAATTTTCAATATTTTTATTGATTATTTGTAATATAACTTAATATAGGATGATGCATTATTTTTTAGGATTAGATTTATTATTTTATTAGGAATTAAGGTTGGGTTAAAAATATTATCTTTAGTTATTATTATTTTATTAGGAATTAGAGTTAAGATATGTTTAGTTTATTATTATTTTATTCATTAGTTATTTAGGACCTTTAGAACTCAGCCCCTACATAAAGGAGGCTTCATTAAACTTTGTAATTCAAGATTTCTTTGATTAATAATACAACGAGAGTTCGTTTTTGCAAGTGCTGATTGCCTTGTGCCTTCGAAGCTATATGTAAAAGAATTGCTTGCTAAAGTTGAGAAAGATCAAAACATCAAAATTGATCTTTAAAAACCATTTTCTTTGACTTCATTCTCGACTAAATAATATGTTACTGATTTTACAATAACTGTGACAAGTCCTCTGGTCGGGCTACTAAACCTCCGAAATTCTCAACATCATTCTAAACTTTAATCTAAACTTTCCAGGCCCTTTGTGCAGACAAAGCTTTCCTTGGTGATTGATGCTTCCCAATGCCTCCGGTCGGAAACTCTTTTCGTTTCATCTGCTCTGTTATTAGATTGATCTCTTCTTTCAGCACATTGTCACAAACAATAACAATCAAGATTTCCGATGCTTTCAATCTCCAGCCGCGAACACACCTTCCACATTAGTTGTGAAACGTCTGTATTCTGCCATAAAGTTCTCGATAATCATCTTGCTCCACACCAACTTATCTGCCACATTGGTTGTGCAAAGGATGGGAAATATTTAGCCGACAACAAACGTAAGACCAAACTGTCCAGAGAGCGGAGAAGCCGCCACACTTGTTTACGGAGGAGTGCAACTTGCAACATTAAACAACGGAAGGTCTCGTAATCCCAAATCACCTACCCGCTTTGGTTTACAAATAGAAGACCAAGCAACATGGACAAACCTCGATCGTCTAGAGTACCCGACCATCAGTAATCCCGGAGAGCACTTGTAAGTTGTAACTTCCTTAAGGTTTTTTTTTTTTTACAAAAGGCATGTAAGGACCTCTTATTTAAAAAAAATCTATGTAACCATCATATTTTTTTACACTCAATATGACTCTCAAACATAGAAAACAAATCTATTGTGGTCATTTGATCAACTATTTTTGTCGTTGACTGTTATAACATTGACATGACACTTTACAATGCTGACATGACAATCCACAATGGTTAGTGATGTGACTGATGATGTGGTCGGTGGATCAAATTAGGTTTTTTGGTTGAGTTTGATGGTCAAATTAATTTTTTTTTTCTTTTTAAAAGCTTATGAACTTATTTGATTTTTTAAAAGAAATAAAAATGTTTTTAATTTAAAATATAAAATTATTCAAAAAAAATTAAATATCAAAATATCAAAAGTAAAAATTGAATTACTAAAAATAAAAAATATATATTATTATATTTTACCTCAAATCTAATATTTATTTTATATAAACATGAACTTTTCCATCCTATAAAATTTTATTTTATACATTTACCTTTAATTATCTTAAACTCTAAATGATTTTCCAAATTGATTACACAAAATTTTTATAAAATTGAACTAAATAAAAATTTATATATAAATTAGCATAAGATATATGATGAAAAAAAATTAGAAAAATAGTTATACAATTAAAAAGAGTATGTTAGTGAATATAACATGATAGAGGAAAATAAAATTCACTAAATATGGAATCCATGTGTTTGAGATTTTTTTTTATTATCTCTTATATTTATTTTTTAATTTTTCAAGAAATATAAAATTCGTCTTTATAAAATAAAAATAAAATAAAACTCACATTAAAATTGACATGTATGAGCATAACAATATAATTATATTGCCAAAAAATTAAAATTCACATTAGAATTCGTCTCTAAATTGAATGAATTATTTAATAATAACATTTTCAATAACTTTGGTTAATATATATATTTTTTATTTTTTTAATAAATTAATTATAATTTTTAATATTTTTATCTTTAGTTGTTTTCTATATTTGTATAGTTTAAATTAAAAATTAAAAAAACATTTTTCTGAAAAAATTAAGTAAATTCTTGAATTAAAAAAACAATTGAACCTCAAACTCAACAAAAAAAATCAATTTAGTTCATTTGTTATATCATCAATTGTGTCACCAATCACTATGGATTGTCTTGTCAAAATCATGAAGTGTCATGTCAATACCGTAACGGTCAACAACGAAAACCGTTAGTCAAATGACTACATTGAATTTGTTTTATAAGTTTGAGGGCTGGTGTAAAAAATAAAAGTGAATTGTCATGCTAATATTGTAAAGTGTTATGTCAATACCGTAATAATCAACAACCGTTAGTCAAACGACCTCATTAAATTTGTTTCATAAGTTCGAGGACGGTGTAAAAATTAAAAGGGCCATTTTTCTTCAAGACAATTGAATTGTTCCACACGTGAAAATTATGGTAGCAAAGGATGGTTGGAATTGAAGTCCCAAAGTAAACAAATAATAATTCATGCTTTGAAAAAAAAATATTGAAAACTCATTTGGCTGACACCTCCACTCCTAATCAAAATCAAGCACTTCCTTGAATATCATACAAAATTCCAAAACCTTTCATGTAACATTCTTGTTCGCCAACCAATTTTTGACTGATTGATGTAATAGTAAACTCTAGGCACCCCCAAACTTATGTATCAAACAACTCAATTAATCAACCAATCAAGATGTTGATCTCCCTCCATGAAGGTATATATTGTCATTAAGTTAGGAGAACTTTTAACTGATATTATATTGTAATTATTCCAAATAACTTAGTTCATGTGATTTGATAAAGATAACAATGAATAAAAAATCACAAAATAACAAACGAAATGTTGATAGTAATCTTTGAGTTTTGTCGGTCATTGATTGTTCACTCTTTCTGGTTCATGCAGAGAGCTACAATCGGTGGTTGAATGACCATCTATCGATAATAATAATAATGATGGAGAGACCAAGAGTTATTATTCCTGAGAGAGAATGAATCGATAAAGAAGAGCCACCCTTTCTACCCGTCGTAAAGGTTTACATAATGATTCTGTTTACATAATAGTGTCAACACAATATTACAACCGTCATTTAACAAAATTAGGATTGTTATGTATAGGGAAACAAAGTGAATAAATACAACTGTTATTTAACAGGTTTAATCTTACAAATTTTTCGAATTTATCAAAAGTTCTATTAAATGTCTCATCGAGGATTATGAAATTACCTATCCGAATGTATAACAAGAAACAATATTGTATAAACATCATCCTTGTATATATATGAACAAATACAAATTTCTGCTGCTTTCCCATGTTATTTACATCCTACATGGAGATTGTATCATAGAGGAGAGGAAGTTATCCTAGCAAATAAGATAGAATTATTTCTCAGGAACTGACTTCTGGTTTATTTAGCATTAACTGTATAAGATATCCATATGACAAATTGACACTACTGATATTTTTGCCATTACTTTATTACTCAAGCAACTAATGCCTCTCGGAGTTACCGCATTCTTCAATCTTTGCAAACCTTCCGCGGATCCTCGGTTGACTGTCAGCAAGAGCCTTCCTGCAAGCATACTGGAATAATCGAAACATATCATGAGTTCGACACGAAAGTCAGGGAAAGGATCAGAGAAATAACCATGGACTCTGTACATGTCCTTCCTTGTTTAATTGTAAAAGCTAGTGAACAAATGCAACAGCTATGCATGGGGATTGAAATACCTTGATTTTCCTTCCAAAGTTCCTCTTCGTCTTCTTATTCCTGTATCTGGAAAGCTTTTCCCTTCGATCCTCTGCGGAACAGCTGCTGAGAAATATCGGTCGATCTGGAGGCGAGCGGATGGTACTCACATTACCATTGCCAAGAGTCTGTCATAAAAATTCAATACCAATAACCTTGATCATCCTAAAATATGGTGCATCAGCTAAAGAAATCAAGTCTTGAATCAGATTAATCTTAAGACACTAACCTGTATATCTCCTTCACTAAATGCTCTCCTCATTCCGAAAGCAGAACCAAAATCCGTTCGAGTGAAATCCAGAAAATTAGGCTTGATCACAGCCCCTTGCACCCATTCCATTGAGATTAAACAGCCCGAGCTGACACTCTTCTGTAACGGTAACGACATATCGGTATCGCAGTGCACTTCGCTTAGAAGATATCGGTTTTCGTCGGTCTTCACAAGATCGAGGACGTCGGGAAGTGGTGTTTCTGTCACGGCTTGTGCCATCATATCCTTTTCACACCCATAGAGAACCTCTAAAAGCTGCTCATTTTGGATTGATTCAACATCTGCTGCCTTGAGTCCTTGTGACATTAATGAGATGTCACCTAGTTCTTCAATGATGGGTTCCGGAGCTTTGAACAGATCAGCTTCTCCTCCGAGGTCGTACTCGGATATCGTCGAGACCCGAACGGAGTTATTCTGCATTAGGCATCAAGAAATATAAACAAACATTATTAATTGTACAGATTCTGAATTGACCTACATAAAACTGCAAGATTCTAGAGTAAATGTCACCGCCAGACACACAACTTGGCTCATTTTAAAGTGCTCTATTTCCCATTTACACTCAAAAACATCAAAGAACAAAAACTAGTGGCTTTTTTTCCCTTTTTTCTTATCTCTATTTATAAGTGCCTTGAAAAGTGAAAACCCCAGTAACCAGTTCACACCAGAAGTTTAAGAAATTGGAGGGAATCTTCAAGAACAAGGAACTAGTGACCTGGAAATAATTTTCCATTTATATTCCAACTTTTTTCTTTGTTATTTTCCTTTTTTTCCTGATACCATGCCAATATAATTTCATTTTAACCAGCGACGGTTGCAAGATTTCAAGAGACCAACTTCTAAAATTTTAAAAAGAAACATTCTTTTAAATTTTAAAATTATAGAGGTGAAAACATACTAAAAATATAAAAATATAAATAAAAAATCTAAAATATATAATTTAAATTTTTAAAGATAATTGTGTCTTCATCCCATATTCATCTCTGATTTTAGCCATTATTAATTGTTGAGACTAGAGATTTAAATAATAGTACGCTATTAATAGCGCTTGCTATATAACTGGAGCAGCGCCGTCCAAAATTATAATTGCATGATTGTGATATCCGAAAACACCACAACATCTATTATGTCCGTAATTACGATAAACCAATGTAATAAAAACGCAACCGAAAGTGCAATTTAAATCCCCGGCTGAGACTGGTTTAAGAGAATAAAGTAATCAAAGCCACCCCCAAGAGAACTCAAGAGGCATACAGCATCAAGGCTGAGGCTTCCAAATCCCTTTTTTTCTTTGTCATCACAAGGGAATATGAAACAGAAAATTCCAGAAATGACTGAAGGATCGAGGACACACAATTCTTGAAACGAAGGTAAACAAAACCGGACTCAATCAAACAAGTGCAGATAACATTAAAGAGAAGAGAACAAGGGAAGTGATAAAAAGAAATCAATGACAAAGATTGAGATATTGAGTACTGTGGAAGCATCGGGTTTCTGGGTTTTAAAGCTATCTTCAAACTGCTGAAAATCCTGAGAAAAGTTGTGCATGTAAGGGGAAAACAGCCCTGTGCCTGCATACATGTTATCGTCCCCGATTATTCAGAATTAAAACAAAGCACGGACCCCCTTTTCTCTCTCTCTGATGAGCAAGCGATGTGACTCGCTAGGAGAAAATAGAGTTCCAAACAAAAGTGGAAAAATAAAAGCGGAGCAGCCAAAATGGTAGATTGAGAAATTTTGGTTAGGTACTTCGGCTTGGATGCAGGACTTAAATAAGCGAGATAACTTTATAATGAAATAAGATATTATTATCCTAACTACCCATTGATTTATTAGGAATTTAAGATGAAATGTTTTCTTTCAAATAAATTTTAAGATTTGAATTTATTATAAATTATTTATTTTGTAGTATGGAAATAAAGCTTACTGTAATAAGGATCTATTAAGATGAAATATTAGTTTTAAAATAATCATCTCGATAGATTTCTTGGTAAATTATTGATATGGGTTTAAAAGGCGTTATTAAATAAAAAAAAAACCCTAAGTTATTTTGTTATAGTAACCTACCCAAATTTGTTAGAAAAATGACCCTTAAGTTGTCCACGTAAGTATAACTCGCATCCTAAGAAACGCGTGGTAATGTCTCGCATTTTACATCAAGCGAGATACGTCTGACATGGATGCACTTTTCGTAGAACGCTATATATTGGTATTAATAACCTCGCGTCACGCAGAACGTGAGGTTTACGAGATATCGAACCGTCACGGTAGAATTTATCGATAGTGATATTCAACCTACCTAGCGTATTGGAAAATGCAAGGTATGTTGTTCGCCAGCCGAAATCGCAAGCTCTTATAGGCATGTTCGATGGTATTTTACGGTATTTAATATCAAAATTTTCGTAATTTATAAGATTGCATGCATAATATTGGAATTTGTCTTCCAGTTGAAGCCAATATCAAGACATACGAGATATTGTAAGCGAGTTAAAAGTGCGTTGAAAATGATTCCAAAGTTTATTTTGTGCATGAAGAAAATGATAAAATGGTTTGATAGACATATTCGAGGGGGGTTTTCAAGTGTTTAATATGAAAAAAATTGTAATTTATAAGATTAGAGATATAATATTGTAACTTATCTTACAATTGAGAGTAATATCGGCACATATGAGACATTATAAGCGGGGTAAAAATCGCTTTCAAAATGATTCCAAAGTTTGGTTTTTTACATGAAGAAGAAGCTAATATGGCTTCATAGGAATGTTCAGGGCAGGTAAAAATCATATTGTTGAAAGATAGCTTAAACAAATTAATAATTACAACTTAATTAATAATTAAACAAATTTTAACATTATATTCGATTTGATGATATATAAGTTAATCGATATGAGGGCGTGATCGATTAGGACATTTGTTATTCGAGTAACCGTGTTTCCTACAAATACTGCAAAACTTCGACTGTCCAGTTCTTTCTTGACGTTTGACCAAATCTTTGTCACAGTAAATCCTTGTTGATCCTGGACGAACATTTCTCTCACATCGTAGTGCAAAATATGGCCTTATTGTATATTCATCATCAACTTCATTCGGATCCCTTTCATTTCTAATGAGAGGAAACTCGTACTGATACAAATTGAATACGGTTTCAAGTAAGTATACGAGATCAACAAATTACATGTAGTCAACCCGTACAGAGGAACAAGCAGTAATGTCGTGCTGACACGAGTATTTGAATGTTTGGAATACTCCATATTCGAAGGTTCTATCACATAGATTGACAACATATGCGTTGTGATGTATGCCTCCAAATGGCTCAAATATTCCGAAACACATTATTTATTTTGATCTCAAGAGACGTATGTCGTATTCATCCCGTTTGAGTGCTGCATAAAGGTTTACAATCTTCTGTGGAGGTCTGGGTGGATTTTGTTGCCACCTGCAATCAAGTAAACTGCTTGCCTTCCCAAGGTTGTAAACAAGATTACCAACTGATAATATGTCGCTTTGAAAATAGAAGTGATAGGTAAATGTCACACTCCCTTTAGTGACGAGTTGATCACCTCAGCCAAGTTCGTTGTCATGTGATCATATCGTTTACCCACATCAAATGATCAAAGCCATTTCTCTTTCGGGATATTAGCAATGTAGTTGTAGCCTTTTTGATTCTTGAGTCTCAATTCTTGAAACAACTCTTCAACCTCGCCTACGGAATGCAAGTTACTTAGCCATTAAAAATGCAACAGTTAGTTATAAATAATAAATGAAAAGATATCTAAATCCAAAAAGAGTGAAAGTCGTACCCATTCGAAGCACCATTACGTGTTGATCTTTGTTCTTAAACTTTTGCAAATAATTGACAACAATATGGCGTAAACAATACCGATGATAAATATAGGGAGGTTGCCAAGTCAGTCTCATATGCTCTATTGCGTATTTGATCCCTGTGCCTTTGCAAAAAAAATAAGACATATCCCACTATAATGCTCATGCAAAACATGTGATAGAACATATTTGTGCGTGTACTTAAGAAAGAATTCCAAAGACTCTATGTCTTTCTTTTCGACTCCAAAGACTCTATGTCTTTCTTTTCAACTATTACGAAGCCGATGAGAATAGTTTTGACATTGCCGTCTTGTGAAACCGCCAACAACAGTATTTGTGTGTATCTGCCATACAACAAGTGTCGTTAATCCTAACCATAGGCTTGTAACGTCGGAGTGCATTAACACAATGCGAAAATGTCCAAAATAGCCTGTGGAATTGGAACGTACCTTCTACAACACGATCATTTTCGTACTTCAGCATAGTTTGAAGTTTCACAACTGTTCCCGATATGTGTTTCTTCATAAATTTTAGCCATGGCCATAACTCTTTGTAAGATTCTTCCTATTTGCCAAACACTTTTTATCGAGTATGATACCTACCATGCATTATGGTAGTTAACCATGTATTGGGATGTAATTGCAGTAATACAACTGGCAACTGATATACGTTGATTTTCTTTGATCAGTGATATGAAGGCATCATAAAGAACATGAACATTTAAGTTTGGATGATCTTGATTGAGCTTATTGATGGTGCATATACGAGGTTGCTCGTATATGGTCAGCTTTATAGTTTGCTCATCCTCTTCAATCGTGATATATGAACCCTCTAATTATATCCCCCATGCTTGTGTACATATTCAACCACATACTTGTCCATGTCTGTTTTTGCACAGTCGATGTAACAGAGTTGCACATATTGTAGTTCTTAATTGCATCCATATTGAGTTCTTTTGTTTTGAATGTCATTCCAGTATATAGCTCACCATCACCATGTTGGTTGTATTGATCAAGTTGTGGGAGTTGCAAAATATTCAGAGCATTGAAAGGTTCCAAATCAACCGTTGTGAAGTGGGATAGTAGCTGGTAATAAGAAATATGAGGCATAACATGTGGAATGTCATCATCATTCGCTCATTTCGGCATGTCAAGGTCCTCTGGTTCTTTAGTTAAGGGGCCTACCTCATCACCATTTAGGCTAATCTACCTTACCGATTATTCGTTAAAAATATCCCCTCAAACTAGAATAGTTCAACATCATCGACTACTAAGATAACATGAGCAACAGTTGTGCATCGATCACGAGATCGCTCATAAGAATGCTCACGAACTGTACTACCAAATCAAAGTCAACAACACCAATATAAGAATGTCTCCCCATAAATGCTCAGAAATCATCGAATGACTTAAACACTTCATGTTCTTACAACCTCATATCCCATTGATAAAATGATGCATCCACACCACTACTGTATGGATTGTACATTGAAAGTTGCATTGGTGGAGATTCATGTCAAAGTCTAAGCTAGCAATGTTGGCATCGAAGATGATGATGCAACCAAGTCATTGCCCCAACTTTGTACACTTAATAAGTTGAAGTCGTTACGTAAACTAATTTTCAGACTATGAACATTAGGATCGAAGTCAAAATCTACCCGTCTCTAATTTGGGACACTTACTTTAGTAACATCATTAGCATCAGAAAACTTGCATATAGCTCAAGTGGACCCTCCTAATGAATGTTGCATGTGGAAATCGATCATTATGTCCACATCACCATGTCTTTAATGTTGTATACTTCAACGGTTGAAGTTTTTTCCCACGACCATGCGGGACATTATTCTTGACTTCTTTCATCAACTTCTTATAAGTTAATTTCTTCGAAAAAGTTATTATCACAGTATGTGTGGGCTGAAAGAAGATATCGAGAGATTCATGATGCATCATTTTTCTATCATAGTACACCAAAGTAGTAACACTTATTCTTCTCGACATGTTTTGAAAATATCTACGATCATGCAAAGAGAAGAACAAATATGAGCGAAATTGTAACGACTTCAAACTATATAATAATTGAGAAACATTTAATAAACTTGCTTGAAGAATGAAAATCTCATTTTTTTTTAGTAGAATATATTCTCAATGTGAAGTGGAAAAGACATGGGCCTACAAAGAATATATCCTTGAAGTGATCTGGCATGGAACTCACATTTTGAAAAATCAAGTTTTGTATATATTCTTGATGTGGTAACAACTTATTAAACTTGGTAGTTTGGCGTATGAGATGACTAGTACCTTGCTAAACCTTCTTCTCAAGGATAACTTCTAGTTTGAAAAGACACTCTCTTCAAGTGGCATTGTTTAAAATAGCACCATAAATGATTTATCCATTTTCAGAACACTTATAGTTAAAAAAAAACTATCTTCTGGTGGCATCATTTTCATTTCCCACGCTAAAATAAACACCATAAGTGCTCCGACAACATCAGATATATAGGAATATTGTTCGTGGTCAATACGAACCTACAATATGTGAGGTTCTTTCGTTGGAAACACTTTTGATCTTTTTCTTTTGCATTTTGTACCGACGGTACCAAGAACACTAGACATCCTCTTCTGGTGGCATCTAGATTTCCTCTTGGGCCTCTCAAGAAACCTCTTACTCAAACAATTAAATCCAAGTGAACACCTTTTGAAAAATGCTTTTGAGTTTTTTACTTTGTTCTGTACCGACGGTAGTAATAACATAAGTCTAAGACCATAATTTTTGAGTTGTTTACGCCAATATAAGTTATTTACAAAAATATGTTTGTTAGTTTTCAATTTCTTTTCGTTTGAAAGTACTTTACGCATTTTGTACCCCGCTTACAATTTCTCATAT